CCCCCCCCCCCCCCCCCCCCCCCCTCCTCCAACCCGTAACGAAAAAAGGTACGACGCGGCTCTGGAGATGACCAAGCACTTCTTTCCCGAGGAGAGCGAGAGCATCACCGACGAGCAGAAGAAACGCCTCCAGGACGTCTTCAGCGACGAGGCCGCCGCGGTGCGGTGCAAGAGGTCGTCCAAGCGCGGAGGCGGCGCCGACGGGGGCCAGCTGACGCCCGCCACCGTGGAGCAGATGCTGGGCGAGCACGACAAGGTGGACGATTTCCTCGATGCTCTGGAAACGCTGGGGGATCCCCTGTGAGGCGTGGAAAAGTCTCTTAGACGGGGGTGGTGGATTTGGTGGTGGTTGTATGCCTCTGCGCTGCCGAGTGTGTGTTTGTTGCCAAATGTTCTGTCGCTGCGTGTGCTGTGCGCGAGTTTCACCGGGCGCCCCCACCACGTTTTGCACGTGTTCTTTATTATGGATGTTGTGATTAGCATACGGCGCCCGAGTGACGGATGGTCCTGAGCATGACCTCTCCTCTGGGAGCCTCCTCTGTCTTCAAAGTAGCTAGTCTAGTTGTTATTGTTTTGTTGCATTTTTCCTGCAAGCTCAAAATGATTGGGGGGATACACAGCGCAGCGTTCCGTACGTGTACATCAGCGAGGACCTAAACGGTCCATAGAGTCTTTTCGTCCCTTTTTGTTGTTGCGATGGGGATCAACGGAACCATTGGCTGCATGGAAGCATTGGCGCGATTGGCGCAACAAAACTGTAAGGTTGCGCGTACGGCAGACAACATGTGTTTGGTTTGTGTGTGTATGTGTCGTCGTTTGTGCGTGAAAGGAAGGATGGTGGTGGTCGTGTGGGTGAGGGAGGTAGTTGTCGTAGCGGTTGGATACTACGTGGGTGACGTGGGTGAGCGAGGCACCCCTTCGGAATAGTGGGCTTCCTGTGAACGGGCACCAAAGCAAAGCGTAGGGGAAGGGAGAGGCAAAGTTGGTCGGTGATCTATGTTCATGTGATTTTTTCGGCACTTTTTTTGTGCATGGGAGGCGGGGGTGGTCCCCTCCTTGGATATGGAACGAATCATTGGTTGGGTGTTGGCCCAGGTGTTGCTGATTATTTCCAATCGATCGATGCGAGTGAATCACCCCGGTTCATGCATACATATGTTGTTTTGTTGTGTAGACGTACCGTATGAAACTAGCTCCTCTCCGTGTGTTACGTGCCGTGTACGGGTGGCGGAATTGAGGTATCGATCATCAATGAAGGTGGTAAAGGATGGTTGGGCTTTTGTGGTGTATATGGGGTGATATGTCCACCGAGTACTGCGACGCACCCAACTTGTTTTAGCTCCCAAGGCGGAGTTAACCGAGTTCATGAGCGCGTACATGAGGGGAGAAGTCATCGAAGGGGAGGCTGGGTGCCTAAGGTACTGGTGGTAAATTTTGAATTTGATTGGGTTTAAGCTGTTTGATTTCTGGCGAATGTTCAGCTTTCTTGTCTTGGGCTAGAAGGGGACTTGCGCGCTTACCGAGGAATCTGCGTGAGATCTCCAGCCCATGATCTGATCAAAATCGACAGGGGAGTGCGGAGTTTGGAATTTGGTTGGTTGACGGATTGAACGCAGGGTTGGTTCCATTCGGTATGGATGTTACGGCAAGGGATCGAGGCACAACAGTAGTTGGACACCGTAGTAGTGGGCTAACTTGGCCTCCTTTTTGGGCTCTCTTATTTGTTTCGTCAATCAAGCGGATCGTGGTGGTGGCGAAAGGGGTTTGACATCCATGTCAACATACGCCCACCCGTTGTGAGTATTTCTGTGGTCTGGTCTATGTGTCTCGCGCATGTGTCTCTGGTCATTCAGCACTGGTTCGTTGACCGTTCTTTGTTCTGGATGGAACTCATTAGAGCACATGTTACCGCGGTTCAGAGATAATGCGAAAGCTCTTCCCCCTATCTCGCCGAGTCATGAATGTTGGTCGAGTAGATTGTGTTGTGCGGGGTCGGAAACCCTCACTCCGCGCAATGGGAATGATCGCACCACGTTGTGTCAAATTCGTCAAGCACACTCGAGGCCGTTACACAGTGCTTGCAACTGTCTCTGGAAGTAAAAGCACCAGAAAATACATTAAGTCATACGCAGCTGTCATCCGTATGCGAGGAAGTAAGCACAAGATGCCGAACACCCTTAGCAGGATGAAGCACGTCCTTCATGCGACTCGCCGAATACCTCACGGCGCTTCGCGCTTGGTGATGTGAGAGCCTGGTCCGGTGAGAACCCGGCGTGCTCCGTCCCGGCTTTGTAGGGATTCGAGGTCAACGGTCTAACGACTGCGCCATGCACGACTATGAGCCCCCCCCCCCCCCCCCCCCCCCCCCCCCCCCCCCCCCCCCCCCCCCC